GAAACCGCGGTTTTTGCGCCACCATTCGCGATATTCGAACCGTCTTTCCGTTTTCGGCTCGGTTCGGTTTACATTTTATATATACTTGGGCACATACCTACCATAATGTGGGATGAGTGCCCCCCCCCCGGGGTTTCATCTCCTTGGTAGTGGCCACTGGGTGGTGGCCACTACAGCCCTGTACCCTTACAAAATGGTATTCCTCGTTTCTACTTGTGGTGGATTTAATTGGGTGTGTTGTTTTTAATTTCACAATTATTTTATGTTAGTTCAATGCATTCCAGATATATATTTTACATATATATTTTTTAATCTCTGGGCATGTCATGGTCCACTTCAAAGTCACTGTACCTAGCTTCTTGTTGACCTCCTTCTGTGAGTGTGTTGTTATATCTGCAGTCTCCTCACATAAACGTTCGAGTTCTTTGGTGAGTCTCTCTGCTTCAGACCTTTGTTTTTCGGCATTGATATATTTGGCATGATTTTCTGCCGACCACTGTTGCCAACTGTACTGGTGGGCCGGCTCCATCTCTCCAGTGGGCCTCGTCAAACTACTAGTGCCACTGAACCGTATCAGAAATTGACGAATGCACAAAATTGTTCATATTCCTGAACCACAGGTTAAATATAACTTGCGTTTCACCTTACACTTATAAGTTATAGTCCATATACGGGAAGAGCTAAGATATTATTTAGTATTACATGATAAAACATTCCATTGGCAGTCTCTTTCTTCTTCGTTAGTTAATTGTAAAATCGGAATTTTGTCTACTTTAATCCTCAGTGTTGTTCTTTCGATTTTAACAACCTTGGCTCTCTCCTTCTTCGATATCGTCCATTGGACTTTGAGGAATACTGATTATACTCTACAAGAGGTTACGAAGTTGGATACTATGAGTGCGTATAGGCTGGATTGATTACGTACTTTGGTGTTATGAAATTGAAACCTTTGATTCTTGAACAGGTCTCATTATATCCTAATGGTTGGGCTTTAAAGGACCAGTGGCCTATATCGAAGACAGAGAGAAGCAAAGTTGATCACACAAACAGATCAACACTGCGGATTGTAGTAGAAAAAGCTTGAATTTTGCAGTTAACCGAAGAGCAAGGAAGAGAAATCCAATATGGGATGACAGAAACGAAGAAGTAAAAAACGTTGAAGTTGAATGAATCATTTGAATGACCAAATATGACTGAGTAACCTCATTTAGCTCATAGGGTCTATGTCCCCCAGGATACTGCCGGAACGTACCCTGGTAACTAGCTGATATATGGTTAGAGTTAGGGTTAGGGTTACTGTTAGGGTTAGGGAGTAGGCATAGGCGACTCCTTAAGCCCGGCGCACACGTGGCGATTTTTATCGACAGTACCGGCGATTCTGTTGCCAGCAACAAAATCGCCGAGAAATCGCCACGTGTGCGCTGCACGGCGTCACCAATTTTGACGCCAGAAACTCGTCGCTGGAATATCAAACATGTTTGATATTTGTTGCCGAGTCGCTGAAAAATCGCTACGTGTGCGCTGACCAGGCGACAGATTCAGGCAACAGTTTTTGGATTAACCAATCAAATGCATGATTTGAAGCATGTGATCAAATATTGGCAGCGCCCGTGGTGTGGTTTTAACAGGTCACGTACAGTTCATACAGTGGTATGTCGCTGACAGATGGTTGCATTGTCACCGGGTGCCGCACACGTGGCGATTTTTATCGACAGTACTGTCGATAAAAATCGCCAAGTGTGCGCCCGGCTTTATAGACTCGTTAGTGGAGTAGGCAAGGTAGGTACGGTCCGGCATATTAGATAGTAGGCCTACCAGCAGAGCATATAAATCACGTTGATTCATATGCTTTGGTACCAGGGTACGTTCCGGTATACCGGACCGTACCCAGGGTACATTCCGGTAGTACCCTGGGGGATATACTCACATAGACCCTCTCACTCTCTCAGCCCTAGGGCCTAGGCCTACGCTCGTTGAATCAGAATTATTATTAATATTATTATTAAATAATTAATAATAATATTATAATAATGACATAATATTGTTAGTACAATATCAGAAAAATAACAATCAATTCTAGAAAGCGTGGTATTGCTTTGCATATATGCTATTTAGTATCATTAGTGACATAGCACTGATTTAGGCTTACTCACCGTCGGCAACTAGGAATTGCACTTTTGTAACGTACACTTTGGTTGCCCTAAGCAACGCCCGCTGAAGTGTTTTCTCATTGGCGTAAATATATTTTTACGTTGCAGGTCACGTGGGATAACAGCTGACGAGAGGTGGCGTGATGCTCGATGATGAAGTGACCACGGCGGTAGTTTGTTGTTTTCTTGAGTAGTTCTTAGGCCTACTTATTACTGTTACAGTATTATGCAACATGGAGCGACGAGTAACTAATAAAGGTGTTGTCAGTCCGTTCAGAAGGCCGTCTATGCTCACAACTGGCGCTGCCTCGACTGCACAATCAGGTCCACCGAAAACTGGGACTTTGGCGCTAAAGGGAATCGTGGCAGGTAGGGCAACTGTATAACCCGTGGCGTAACGTATATACTCATAATACTGACTGTATTACTATTAACTAGTCCTATTATACACTTTTAATACAGTCATTATATAAATATAATAGTAGTATTACTACTCAGACAGTACTCTATAATACAGTGTAGTTATTACTGTTGTATGTATATATACCCGTAGACTATATTATACTTATAGTTATAGTATATTATTATTAATTATATATATATATCATGTATATATTAATTATTATATTGTATTAATTACATACTATAGTCACAGTGTATGAGTAAATATAAATAGTTTAATATATATTGTTCACTTACAAATAATAATAATAGCATTAGTTGTGTAAAAATATTGGAGGATTTGTGGGATCTCGATTCGGCTCACATTGAAATTAGCTTCAGCTTTGAATGCATATGTTTGGACCCCAATTGCATTAAAATCTTGTGTGAGCCTGAGTGAGGCACCTAAATTGTAAGGAACATATTTGTCATATTTACTAAATTGTTTCTCTGTGTGTTAAGGGCTCCTCGACCAGTACAGATTCCAATGACCTTTTCACACTCTGTAGTCTTAATAGTGATCCTTACTACCTTCTTGCGTACCATAATTTGGGGGTTGTGTAGCTATGTTGCATGTGATCATATATTGCACTTGCTTGTAAGTCATATTAATGATATATATAACTGTCAGAGCACTTATCAGCCTGCCAAATAGCCATCATGTGCCATCGTTTTTGCTTTGTTTGTATTAGAAGTGAGGATCTATATATATTATCTCATCTGTATACGCTATGCATGTCAATTCCAGGGTTAATTTGCTGGTTTCTATATGTTTGCCAGAGGTTCCCATGTCTATTTTCCCGTGTTTCACAAGCATAAGTCCTACCCCCGGTTTAGGACAAATTTCTGCGATGGACATGACCCCCAGATTGCCCGTACGTACGTAGTAGTAGTACAGCATAAAATATATTCGACACGATTTAGATAACAAATGTGTACATACGTACTCGGTGGCAATGTTTTCAAGCGTTTGTGTGCGTACGTGTGTTCCTGCTTACTTAGGTTCGTGAGTGAGTGGAGTGCGTGTGTGCTGTGTTGTCCCCCCTTATGCAGTGGAATAATGCAGCCAAGATTGGCCCTCCAATGCAAATTTCAACATGTTGTATAAACGGTATACTTAAAATCAGTTTAGGAAAAAATCGAGATGCCAACTTGCTTGTATTTTAAGTGCGATATTTTCATTCCGTGTAGAATGTAATATACTGCGTAACCAGGTTATCTGGTCATATTATAACGCTCGCTAGTATGAGTGACCTAGCTATCTAGACAGCATTACATACAGTCAGACAGCATATAGGCTATAAAGTGCATACATATACGGAGTGAGACTGAGTGTTTGTGCGCGCACGTGCGTACGTGCGTGCGTGCGTGCGTGTGTGTGTGCGTGCGTGCGTGCGTGCATGCGTGTGTGTATGCGTAAGGCTGAGAGGGTCTATGTCCCCCAGGGTACTGCCGGAACGTACCCTGGTACTATCTAATATGCCGGACCCTACTTTGTCTACTCCACTAACGAGTCTAGGGAGTCGCCTACGCCTACTCCATAATCCTAACCCGAACCCGAACCCTAACCCTAACCTTAACCCTAACCCTAATCCTAACCATATAAAATAGTGACCAGGGTACGTTCCGGTATGCGGGACCGTACCCAGGGTACGTTCCGGCAGTATCCTGGGGGACATAGACCCTATGGCTATGAGCATAAGTAAGTGTCTGCTAACTACCACCAGCGGCATAAAAATAATCCAGGCACACTAAGAAAACACGCGCTTTTATAGACACAATCTACGCTTGTCAACGGAAATGTTTAGATAGCTGGGCTGGTGTCATTATAACGACCAAGGAACGTATCTATATTATGAGTACTACTACTATGTGTATTTCGTGCCTGCGGGTTTATGCTGCTTCTGCGTTGGCCAAAACATGATTGTCGTATTATGAAAAAAATGGCTGGCTGACAATGAAAGCGGACAACCGTGTTAAAACTCCTTGAACCGGTTGTTGTTGCCACCGGGTCGCTACTGTCCTCGTATCGTTGTAACTAAGTACTAGCAGACTTTAATACCCGTACAACCACCAAATCGTGTTTTAAAATATAAACTTTATGTAAGTGACACAGTTGAAGTCAAATATTTCATGCAACTGAAAGGAAAACAGAAACAAAAAAACATTTTGGGAAGAAACAAAGAGCGCAATTCTATAAGTGAGCAGGGTGAAAAAGTGCTCAGTTGGTGACCACTTGGTTGAAAGGAAAATACCCCCGAATCTATCTATCTATGTATGTATCTATTCATCCATCCATGCATGCATCCATCCATCCATCCATCCATCCATCCATCCATCCATCCATCCATCCATCCATCCATCCATCCATTCATCCAACCATCCATCCATCCATCCATCCATCCATCCATCCATCCATCCATCCATCCATCCATCCATCCATCTATCTATCTATCCATCCATCAATCCAGCCAGCCATCCCTCCATCCATCCATCGCATGCCATGCCACCTCATGCCATGCCATGCCATCCCATCCCATCGCATGCCATGCCACCTCATGCCATGCCATGCCATGCCATCCCATCATATCCCATCCTCTTCTATACCATCCCATCCCATGCCATTCTATGCCATCCCATGGGATCCGATCCGATGCCATCGCATCCGACCCCATCCCATCCCCAGATATACACATCCCATCCACTACCGTCTATGTCCCCCAGGGTACTGCCGGAACGTACCCTGGTACTAAATACTACTTAGTACTATCTAATATGCCGGACCGTACCTCGCCTACTCCACTAACGAGTCTAGGGAGTCGCCTACGCCTACTCCCTAATCCTAACCCTAACCCTAACACTAACCCTAACCCTAACCCTAACCCTAACCCTAACCCTAACCATATCAGCCCATACGTTCCGGCAGTACCCTGGGGGACATAGACCCTATGGCCTATGAGCTCCACGCTCCCATCCCATCCCCAAATGTAAACAGATATACATGTACT